ATTTTACATATAAGAAAACTGAAACCATAAGAAGGTTAAACACCAAACAAGTGTTTTGAGTCTAACCCAGGAAGCGTATTCATTGAGCCCGTGTTCTAGGCAATATTCTGTTCTTATTCACACTTGTGTGCAATTATGAAAGCATCCAGAAAAAAAGCGTAGAAAGGAAGAGAGAGAGTGCTTTTAAAAGGTAAACGATCAGGTAGTGTGAATTCTTGGAGATGGTATTGGGATAAAATGAAAGTAGGTGTGTAATAGTATTGCCAATAACAATGTCGACTTAGGACAGGATTTGGATTATACATCAATTTTAATTATTACACCTGAAGACATCATTTGGGAAATGTGGAAGAATCACAGTTAGAGGTGAATATACTTGGAAACTGACAGATTACGTTTTGAGTTGAGCCTATGCATTTGGCAGTCAGCCAGTAATGTCTTCACTGCATTCCCAGGATCCAGAGTATTGGGGCGGGGGTGCAGAAAATGGAGGAAATGCATGGCCACTTTGTGATATATGTGACATGACTGGCCAGACAATGCGAACTGTTGCAGCTTCATTGTTGATACAGTCTTTTAATAGCAATTATTTTTGCTGCATTTTTTGACAACATGGCTAACACTGCATAGTGCTTTTACATGCTTTGACAATCTTTCTTGGATGAAATAACCTGTAAAATTCATTGTTTGCTACCGTTACTTTTTTGAAATGTGTTAAGAACCAATATTGTGCCTAGAGTTTTCAAGTAATATTATATTTGGTACAAAATCTTAATAAATGTTTACAGCATAAAATAAAGGAGTGAATAGTAGATTCTTTGAGAAAAAGACAAAAGCTAGTTTACTTGTTTGCAGTTTACACATCTTTCTGGCCATGGAGGAGACCGCTAAGGTCAAGCTTTCTCTTTTTGTTTTCATTAGAATAGTCATAATAAAAAAAAAAAAAATTAACTTGGATTTTTAATTCTCCCCAAAATCCTTTTACTTATTCCTAACTTCAGTACTGTTTCTTCAGGCTGTGCTGGAGACAAACACTCAACAAGCCCATGTTTTAATAAGATAATCCATTTGAATTTGATAAGGAGCCTTTTGACATCATTGTAGACCAGGAAAGGTGGAAGTATAGGTCAATAGTCATTTCCCTTGTTTCCTGCAGAAAATAAATGACTCAATACTCGATAGTAATCTTACTTTTCTCTAGACACAGAAGACCAGTGTTGTTATTTCATTACATAATCCAGTCAGTGTTCTGGATGTGTTTTCATAATTATCCATGTGATTTTCATAAAGGGTAATGGCTGATGAATATATTAATGTACGGTCCTTTTAAACTTTCTTTGGCAAATATCTGGTTTTGTTTTTTGTTTTTGTTTTTTTAAGTTTCAGTAATCACAGAAGTCTGGAAAACTTTACAAATCCTGGAGACAGTGTTAGTAAAAGCAGAGTTAGTTCTTGTCTTGAATATATAGCTAATAAAATGATATATGTTTGCTTTATTTCAACCAAACCTGTGTTTCTAAGTTTGGATAAATCTGACTTTCTGTATCTCTTACAAGATCTGAACATAATCAGTCTAAGAGAAATCTTCCTCTGTGTGTAACAGATCTTGAGTATGCAAAAATGTTGAAATTAAATGATATACCCAAATATTCGTGTTTCCCAGAGTACAGTAGGTCCTTTAAGGGATATTGGAGGAATATATGATGTGGTTGGCTTTTCCTATTGAATTTCCTGCCTTCACCTTCGTGAACAGTCTACAAAACTCAGCGCCATTCTTGACACTCCCTCTCGCTCTATCACCACACTCTCTCCTCCTCGTCAGTCATCAAAGGTGGTTCATTCTACCAATGAACTATTTCTCAAACATTTTTCCTCCTCTCTCTTCCCCTTGCCATGGCCATCAGTCAAACCCTGACCACCTCTCCCCTGGGCTGCTGGGGTAGCCTGTGAACTGGCTCTTCTTTCTGCATCAAGTCCTATATGTTTAAAGGGCATCTTCCAAATGAATTCTAGTGCTGTCTTTCGAAACACAAAGCTTAAACATACCGTGTTTTGCGTAATAAGCCTTCACAACTCTCAGTCACATATTGCCCAAACACATTTCTTCGGGAGCTTTTCTGTCTTGTTCACTTAGGCCTCTAGTAGCTAGCATATGTGGCATTAACGAAACACGTTGTAATGAATAAATGAAGATGCCATAACGTATAAGACCCCTTACCACTTGACCCAAAGTTACCTATCTGATCTCCTCTCGAGTTTCTCTTCCGATAAGCAGTATGTTCCAGCCACACCAAATGTTTTACCATTCTTCCTACATGTGGGCATTTTATAGCCCTAACATTGTGCTTATCCTTTTCTTCTCATCTGTCAGGAATCAATGATCACCCAGGCAGTTAGACCCAGGGGAATGAATTGACCTTATGTCTGCCTATAGTTATTGTTTTCATTAGCCCAACAAATATTTACTGAGCACATACTATCTCTTAGACACAGTTATAAGTCTGGGGGTAGGGATACTGTTAGTGAACAAAAAGATAAAGTCATGCCCTTTCTGGAACTTACATTCTAGTGTAATAGCAAATCAAGAATTTGTCAGGTGATGATGGATATAAAGATGGAATAGAAGACACAGGCCCAGACGAGAGAGCATTTTTTTTTAATGATTATGTTTGAGAGAGAGTGTGCTTGTGCATGTGAGTGGGGGGAGGGGCAGAGAGAGTGTGGGATAGAAGGCCCAAAGTGGGCTACATGCTTTATAGAGAACCCAACATTTGACATGGTTAAAATGTAGTTGAGGGGAATAGTACCAAATGGGATTGGGTAGTGGGTTTGAAGTACATTGGACAAATAATCAGAGGGACCTCCTGTAGGACAGGGTAAGGGCTTTGGACTGGTCTCAATACTCTGCCTTCAGTGTACCCCTAATCAGCATGACTCTGCCTTGATGCTCCAGCCCTGATTCCAGCCTTTTGTTAGATCAGGAGCCTGAAGCGCACTAGCCAGAGTGGCTTTGGTGGCTCTGGGCTCTTGCAGCTTTGCAGCCAATGTCTGACTACTCAGCAGTTGATGCTCTCTGTCCCTGGTAGCAGTGGGAGGTAGACTTAGCCCCAGCGTTAGACCACCTACCATCTCGGGCAGATTCCCTCATCTCTCTGAACCTGTATTTTCTTGTCTAAAATGGACATAGTTTAAAAAAAAAAAAAAGGCTGTTAGAGGGATAAATGACTAGAATGTAACCCTGTAAAACTTTCTCTCTTGTGTTCACTGATAGACCCTAAATGCCTAAACCGTGCCTTGTACTCAGTAAGTGTTTTTTGAGTGAATCCGGAAATGTATGGTTGAACCGTGTATAAAGCACATGAAACAGCACCCAGTACATAAATGCTCAGTGCACAGCAGCTGTTGTTATTATAGTTGTTCGTGTTTTTATTTTTAAAATGATGTTCCCTGTGATCATACTGTAGTTGTGTTGCAACTGTTTTTCCCATGTGTGGGGCTTGTCTACTGCAATGGCCATTCTGCCTGGGCTCATGGTACCTGCTTTCTGTGTTTATACATACGCCTAGGGAAGCGGGCTTGGGCTGGGCACATGCTTTCTGATTCCTGTTCGCTCTGTTCCCTAGCTCTGACCTCAGAATTAGTTTCTGCTAGCCCTGGAGAGACTCTTGTTTCTGGCTTCCTTTTCCAGAACTGAACTCACTTCTCCCTCAGGTTTGTTTGTTTGTTTGTTTGTTTATTTATTTATTTATTTAGATATCATTGACAAACAACATTCTATTAGTTCCAATTCTGTTAATTCTATTAGTTCCATTAAGTGATTTGATGTTTGTATATATTGTGAAAAGATCACACAGTAGGTCTAGTTAGCATCGGTCATCTTACATAGCAAAAATTTTTTTTTCTTGTGATGAGAACTTTTAGCATCCATTCTCATAGCAGTCTTCAAATATGCAATGTTTATTAAATATAGTCACTCTGCTGTGTATTACATCCCTATGACTTACTTGTTTTATAACTGGAAGTTTGCACCTTTCGACCACCTTCCCCCACTACACACACATACATACTCTGCCTCTTGCAGCCACCAGTCTGTTCTTTGTATCTATGAGCTCATTTTTTTTTTTTAAGATTCTATGCATAAGCAAGATTGTTTGATATTTGCCTTTCTCTGACTTACTTCATTTGGCATAACATCCTCAAGGTTTATCTGTGTTGTTGCAAGTGGCAAGATTTCCTTCCTTTTTATAGCTGAGTAATTCTTTTATCTTTACATGACATCAAGACTACTTGTGCGCTCATCCTGATAGCCAAATACCTGCTCCTGCGCTTTAGATCTCTCCCTGCAATGTTAACACCTGTGTGGCTACACTGAAGTTTTGTCGTTCCCCGCCCCCCCCGGCTCCTGGGGAGTTGCTGGTGGGTTGGCACTTCTCTTGCCATGATATTGTCCTGGATTTTTACCTGGTTTCTGTGCTTCCGTCTTTGGCCTGCCCCTGTTATTTGCCCCAGTGCCTCATGATTCACAGATGTGGCGTGGATGGAATGAAGTGACTTTGGCATAGCAGAGACCCTCACTGCATGTTTATGGAGAGATCTGGCTAACTCACAACCCCCAAGTGTGTGCAGTTCTTCAGAATACGAATGACAAAAATAACATTCTACTACACTTTGTATTAATGCTGGGGTGGGGTGTTGTTTGGAATCTCAGTTGACATTTTTAAAATATCAGTGTGAACTGCATCGTCGTGGTAATTTAACACTTTGCCAACAAAGGAAACAGTGTGATCCTTACTATCAGGAAAATATAAGTTGCTGCATGGCAAATACTGTTTTACCAGTCCTTATGAGAGACATAATGTGAGGTATTTATGGAAGGGTTTTGTTTATAAGAGTAAAGACAGATATTTTGGAGTAATGTGTGTATGGATCATTGAAATCACTGAAGGGGATTTCAGCTGAGATTCCACTGGGTCTCTAGTTTAGCTCTTAGTTCTGCCAGTATGGTCATCAATGTGATGTCCTCTGTCCCATGCTACAAAGGAGTGGAAGAGGAAAGGCTGGGACAGAATGGCAAAGTAGGTTTGAACTGATGTTTATTTTGTACCATTTGAGGTACTTTGATTATGCATATGCCTGTACCAAATTGATTAGTCATTGTGAGGATATGTGAGCTTAGAAAAATATACTTTTACACTTAACCTAAGTGATTATAAATTAAATGCCCAGCTATCTCTCTCTTGAGTATCTGTCCAGTGTAGGAGATGAAGTTCCTGTATCATGCAAGTACATGAAGCTCTTGCGAAAATATTGAATGAGCCACCAAGGGTATATGAATATTTTCAAAACACTGGGTAGCAGATGAGATTACCATAGATTTTTCTGGATGTTGAAATCAGGATGGGATTGACTTGCTAAATTAATTATGAGATATTTCTAGGATAGGATGTATAATCTCATAAAGCCAAGAAAATATGTTGAAAGTTTAAAGAAAGAAGAAAAAGGAGATAGCTTTGAAACCATGGTTTTATTTAACCTGTTACTGGTATTTCCCCAAATGTTGATTCTCATCAGTGACCAGAAGGTATACATTCAGTTCACCTACTAAATCAGCTCAATTCTGAGAGGAGCTGTGCACTGAGGTCCCAGAGCTCCTGAGGGAGAGATGGCGGGGGAGGGGGAGGAGGGGGCAAGGAGTAAGTATGGGGGAGGGCG